CATGGGGGAAGTGTGGAGGCTGGGGAGGCTCTCCAGTGCCCTGGAGGTAGCCTGGAGAATAGACATGGCGCTTCCGCCCACTGCCCACATGCAGAGGAATGGAAACCGGTTGTGCTCACCTGGCCCTGCGTGGTTCCCTCACCTCCCCCACAGCTCGTGCCGTTCCCCAACCTTCTCTACGTGGTCTCGCTCTCTTGGTTGTTGCACAGAAACTGTGAAACTGGCTCGCAGTTTTCTCTCAGGAGGAACTGCTCTAAATATAGGTGTACATTCCACGTGTTCTTGGGAGGGGCGAGTTCAGCACCCACCTGGGCTGCCACGTTGGACCTGCCTGGAGAGGTCGGGTTTTGATGGCTGTCTTCTCTGAGCTGCATTTCTTTGAGGCGCCATAGAGTTTGCACTGTGTCCACTGCCATCAGAGGAATCAGTGGGCCTGTGTTAGGGAAAATCAAGCCAACTTCCCATGAGCTTCAGAGCGATACATTGATTGGGTATCATAAGATCAGATCTGAGATTTACATGGATATCATAGACTTGCAAAACTTTTACGTACTGGAAATGTGTTTTGTTATGATGTGTGAAAAAAACTGTTAACTTCTAAATGCTGTTCTCCTTTTTACCCAGCTAACTTCTGCTTATCCTTTAAAATTCTTTTTTAAAAATGTTATTATTAGGGAGGAGAGACAGAGAAACATCGATTTATTGTTTCACTTATTTATGCATTAATTGGTTGCTTCTTGTATGTGCCCTGACTGGAACTCAAACCCGCAACCTTGGCGTATGGACAACATTCTAACCAACTGAGCTACTCGGCCAGGGCCTCCTTTAAAATTCTTTATTCAAGGGGCTTTTAGTGCTTCTACCAGATTCCTGGCAATGTCTTCCTAAAAGGGTATCTGTTTCTTTCATCTTTTTACCCTTCGTGCTTAGCACATAGCAGGAGCTCAGTATATAATGAATGAATGAGTAATCAGATGACTGGATAGATGAATTAATGCATTTTCTAGTGAACACTGAGTTAGCATCATTTTTGAATTTTATATATGATTGGACTAAAATATATCTTACAATATATCTTCACTCACCGTTTTACTTTCATTTTATGGGTTTGCATATCCTAATTTTAGCTTCTAATAATATAGTTTATTTTACTTTAACACAAACATGAAGCATTTATCTTTCTAATTGCTACCTGGAGTGTCCCATGGAAAGCATGCAGTGTTGGAAAGAGGGACTCGGCCCCGAAGGAAGTGAGGATGAAATGGAAGTGTTTGCTGACATGGGTCAGGTTTGGCTGCCCCAGTGCTGAGGAGCCTGTAATCTTACCTCCAGGCCACTTTTCCTGCTGGAAGATGCAGAGAGCGCGGCCAGCTTCTTCCCAGATCAGGAGGCTCCTGTAGGAGGGGACAAAAGCACCTCAGACTCCGAATCCCTGGGCTTAATCTCCATCGTGGACATCTTTTTACTGCATTTTTAAAAAAGTCAAATCCCAATGCTTTAAAAAAAATTTATCTTTATTGTTGAAAGTATTACAGATGTCCGCTTTGTTGAGTTTCCCCATTGGCCCTCTCCTCCCCACATTCAGCCCTCCCAAGCCTTCACCACACTATTGCCCGTGTCCATGGGCTACTCATAAATGCATGTAAGTTCCCTGGTTAATCCCCCACCCCCACCTTCCCTCTGAAACCCATCAGTCTGTTCATGGTTCTATGTCTCTGTTCCCATTTGCAGCAGCATGGAGGGACCTGGAGAGCATTATGCTAAGTGAAATAAGTCAGTCAGAAAAAGATGAGTATCACATGATCTCACTCATATGTGGAATCTAATGAACAAATTCCAATTTTGAAGGAGGCATGAAACCTCAGGAGCCAGACATCTACGGTAGCTGTCCAAATTCTGAAGATACCTACTCCCTCCACTCTTGCTATTTTACATTTTATTCTTATTACCTCTGCCATAGAGGTTTAAGAACTTGCCCCAAGATTGCAGAGTTTGAGCCTCCTCCTTTGACTTCCCTCCAACCCCATCATTTTGTAGGCACCTTGGCGATTCCCATCTCTACCAACAACAATAAAGATATTTTTTTGAAAACATGATTTAAAATGAGAGCTTTTGAGTGAAAATGTCTCCGAAAGCAAAGACCTTTTCCGTAAGGCAAACATTTATTGAACTGAAACCTTAAAGAAAGCATGTCGCTCTTGTTGACAGCCTCATGCATCAGAGCTTTGTTTTCTGTTACTCGACAAGCCTGGCAGCCTAAACCCAAGCCTTAAATGTGTTCCGCGCAGGAGCCCTGGCTCTGGGGGTTATACAGAAAAATGGTTTCAGAAACCTGCTGCACCTCTAAAAATACTCTGGAAGGTTAAAGCATGTTAGAAGTTTTGAGCTTTTCACACACAGAGTGTCTAAAGTAGCTGTAAATATTCCTTTAAACTTGTGCTGTCGATGCGGAATTTTAACTCAACAGAATTAACATTACTATATAAGATGTAGAGTCTAAAATACAATAACATGATGTAGAATTATTTCTGTTTAGTTAACATCATGTTGTAGTGTGTACGGATGAAACAGCTGCTGAAGGAATGTGTTTGGAAGGAATGCAAGATGTCTTTGATTCCTTCATTCACACAACATGTGGCTCTTCCCCTTGCTGATCAGTATCTTAATTATCCCAGACAGACGAGAACATTGGAGGTTGTGACGTACAGCGAAGCCGTTTCTATTTTGTCTTTAGTAACTCATCCAAAACAAACACACACACAAACAAAAAATAACCAAGAAAAACTTACTAAATCTTGAACATTGGGACAAACTAACATTTTTTTCTTGTGTAAAAAGGAAGATTCATCCAATCTCCATGAACCCTAGTCTGCTTTGCCTCTGATGAGCTCTTTAGATTATTCATCTTGAAAACCAATCCTCTGAACCAGATTTCTGATATCTCATCTGTAATATGTCACTTTGATAGATTATGTTTTCAAGGCCGTGTTGGGAAAGAACTTTAAAGATCCATCTAGTCCAAAGGTTTTTTGTTTGTTATTTTTAACTTGGTGAATATCAGGGGAAACATGAAAGCTTGGAAATTCTAAAGGGTTTGTGTGTTTATCTATGCAGGAGGTCCATAACTTATACCTGATTATCTAAAGGGCTGGTGACTCCTAAAAAGTTAAGAACAATTCAATAATACACCCCTTCCTCCTCCATCATTTGAACTTGAGTGCTCTAGCAGCTTGCCTGGACTCCTTTGGATTTCTAAGCTCGAGCATGGCCTATCTCACAATTAGCCAAAGCAAATCCCTACCAGAAACAGATGAGTAGGGGCCTGGTGTAGTCCTTCCACATAGCAATGTCAGGAAACTATCTTGGGCAACATGGGAATAAACAAAAGCGTTCCTGAAATATCCAATACTCATTGGATATCATTGTAATGGATATCATTGAAATGCTATTGAGGCCATTAGAACAGAGGTAGGAAATATGGGGAAAGAGTAAGTTTTTCTGCCTTTAGCACACAGGTCTTTAGAGTTAGAAGGGGAGCTAAGATTGAAACAAATACATAATCCAAGAAAAGTGACATAGCCACTTGATTGGCAATTAAAATGTCTAAGCTGATTTGAAATTTAGTAATGATGTGACTAAAATTTTAGGAACTGGGTTATATGACCACCTGCCTTACTCTGACGTCCCTCATACAGACTAGAAATAGGACTCGTGTTCCATCAGTTTGCCTAACAGAGTCCAGTAAGTGTCCTGGTCAAAATCAACAGTGATATTTATTACCTGGAAAAGTAGTAATTGTTTTTGTGTTTTTTTACCCAGACAATATGTTTTAAATTAAATATAGAAATATTTAAGAGACTTGAAAGTAACACTGAATACTTTTGTGTTAAAAAGAATCTGTGTGGCCGAAACCGGTTTGGCTCAGTGGATAGAGTGTTGGCCTGCGGACTCAAGGGTCCCGGGTTCGATTCCGGTCAAGGGCATTTACCTGGGTTGCGGGCACATCCCCAGTGGGAGATGTGCAGGAGGCAGCTGATCAATGTTTCTCTCTCATCGATGTTTCTAACTATCTCTCTCCCTTCCTCTCTGTAAAAAATCAATAAAATATATTTTTAAAAAAAAGAATCTGCGTATGTTTGGTATTTGAAGTTTTTGTAATGCTGAAGAGAATTTGGTCTGGTAGAATAGCATGATCAGTCTCTTAATTTCAATTTAAAAAGCATAATTGAGTAATTGATTTAGACTTGTGGTTTTAGGTTGAAATATTACTAAATTGATCTACAGTGTTGGAATATTTAACAGAACTTGGTTCACTATATTTATAAATTTAATTTATTTGATTTCAGAGATTTATTTAATTACGCAGGAAGGTTTTAAGTCAGACAATTGAAGTACTTAAAGGAAATCAAATACATTAAATTTATAAATGAATTTTAAAATGTTTGAAGAGCTTTAATTAACTATTTATAAATGGAGCTAAATAGTCCTCTAAGTTCCATTAAAAGCAATTGCTAAAGTTTACTAGCTTATAAATAGAATTAAATTTGTAATCTGAAATGAGAAGCTTAAGGAAAAAAAACACGAGGCTTTTACATTTGTAACTTGAATAAGTCAAATATTAATATTTAAAGTGAAAATATCATCAGACTAACCTTTTCTGAGTACAAAGGTCACCCTTAAGGCCTCTAAAACCTCATGTTTAATGCACACTTTCTGTATTAAACACAGGATTGTTCCTCACTTCCTCAGAGGCATATTCATCCCCTTTTCTTCCTAGAGTCATGCAGTACTATGGACAGTTCTCCTTTTTCCATTTTGGATAGACACTTTTTTTTTTTTTTTGGCTTGGAAAGGAAAAATCAGTGCAGTTGTGATATTTGGGGAGCAATAGGAAGTAGTGGGATTGTGACCATTTGAATGTGTACTGTTTGGCTGATCATCGCTAGGTGATTATCCCAGTGTATAATAACATGTTTGTGTGTGTGTGTTTTTTCCCCTAGGAGAAGTCCGAACTTTAATGTGAAATCTTTCATAAGAAAAGTATGGGTACCAATTTTTTTTAAATCCGGGAGTGGGTATCATCTACATCTGAGACTGAATTAGCCTGCAGGTCACTTGCTTTAGAACTTTGGTGAAAGAGAAAGTGCTACGAACATTGATGCCACATGGGTATCAACTACCCTCTTGCCAGCCTCTGCCCAAGAGAAGCAGAACTTGCCAACGTTCTGAGCTTCTCTGGAATCAACTCATATCACAGCACTGGCCAACAGTGTCGTTTTCACTAAAGGTTTTGGAGAATCGAGGGACAGGGAGTGTATTGTATGTACATATACTCATTAAAAACAAGGCACACTGTATTAAATAGCCCCCATTATATACTTCTTGGCTTCCATCTTTCCTACACAACTGCTCTGCTTGGGGTGTAGAGAAGAATGGTGGTGGTCGTGATTTTTCTCCCCCCTGACCTTCACACAAGCCCCAGGCAGCTGGGTTTATGTCCTCCCTGTCTCTCTCAGGGAACTCCCACCCCCCTGCATGAAGCAGAGCAATCCAGCTCGCCCTGCACCTGAGCCTCTGGGCACTCGGTGCTGGAGCTGCTGAGAGGAGATAAGTAACTTCTTTCTAGTTGTGGTAGAAACCAGCAGCCAATGTCCGTATCTAATGTTGGGCATTCACAGCCCATGTTTTCCAGTTTTCTGCTGTCCAATTCACGGGCTGCACTTGCCTGATTTTTTTTTAATTTTTCTTACAGCAGCAGCTGCAACTACTGCCCTACCCACTCTCCCTTGGCTTTGCCATGTCTGTCACACTGGGCACGGGCCTGACTTCCGTCAGCACCTGCTCCGGCTGCCGGAGCCCTCAGCCACGCTGCAGGCACTTCCTCTACCAGCAGCCCATGAAAACAGCAGCAGGTGGGAAGCGTGTGAGGCCTGTGCTCTACGCTGCTTCCCGGAATTCCTCAGTGGGATTAAGCTCCAGCTACCCTGGCTGGTAACCTGTGGACAGTGAACCCTTTACTAGCTTTCTTGGCTTTTCCTTCTCACAAGTTTACTGATGTTTCCCTGAACCACCTCCGACTTACATTCTAATGTCCACCTCTAGATTTCTAGGGGAACCTAACCTGTAAAATCTCCTCCAGCCAAATGCCATGTTAATAAAATCAATTCGGCATGGAATTTAGTTAGCCCTCAGTGATCTTAAAGGCACGCTGCAGAATCTAGCACCCAGGCACCGCACTTCTTACTACAAAGAAAAACCCACTCCAACAGTAGCCTGGCCTTAATAATCGTCCCAGGCTATTAGAAAAGGGCATTCTTCTCTCCAATTTGAATTTTAATAAGTCAAGCTGACCCTGTGGATATAGGAAGACGCAGTGGGTCAGTGCAGCGCATTGCTGTGTGCAATGGGGAAAGTGTGCTAGGTGACCTTAGGAGCAGGAAGATGGCCCAGCTGCCTGGTAGAGTGAAGGACGGACTTCCCTGGGGAAGCCAATGCAGAACAGAATTGTGAAGGGGCAATTCCCTAGAGATGTGGAGGAGGAAGGGGAGGTGTGAGAAGACAGAAGACATTTACTGCAGAAAGAACAGAACATGCAAAGGAATGAAGGCATGAAATAGCAAGGTGCATTTAAGAAGCATGGCATGAGGGTCCCTCAAAAGGGAGTGAATGAAGTTGAGTTTTAAAAGATGGGAGGAGCCAAGTCACAGTTGGGTAATACCATGCAAAGAATTTGGAATTTACATTTTAGGCAAGATGAAGTTATTGAAAAATTTTAAAAAGGGCAGTAATACAATGAATGATTAAAATCACAATGAGATAGCACCTCATACCTGTGAGAATGGCTACCATCAATAAATTAACGTACAAGTGTTGGTGGGATTGCAAATTGAAGCAGCCACTATAAAAAACAGCATGAATGTTTCTCAAAAAATTAAAATTACAACTACTGTAAGACCCAATAGTTCTTCTTCTTAGCTGACGAAATAAAAAAACAGTAATTTGGAAAGATAACTTGCACCCCTATGTTCAATGCAACATTATTTATAAATTAAAATTACAACTACTGTAAGACCCAATAGTTCTACTTCTTAGCTGACAAAATAAAAAAACAGTAATTTGGAAAGATACTTGCACCCCTATGTTCAATGCAACATTATTTACAGTGGCCAAGATAAGGAAGCAACCTAAGTTTCCATTGATAGGTGAATGGATAAAGAAGATTTGGTACCTATATACAATGGAATATTACTCAGCCATACAAAAGACTGAAATCTTACCATTTATGACAACATGGATGGACCTAGTAGGCATTATGCTACGTGAAATAAATCAGAGAAAGACAAATACCATGTGCTTTCACTTACATGTGGAATCTGAAAACCATAATAAATGAACAAATAAAACAGACAAACTCATAGCTCCAGAGAAAAACATTGATGGGAGGTGGGTTCAGGGATGGGTGAAAAAGGTGATTAAGTACAAATTGCAAGTTATAAAAGTGGTCATAAGATTGTAAAGTATAGCATAGGGAATATAGTTAATAACTATATATGTTGCTATATGGGTACACATTTACTGGGGTGATCACTTCATAAGGTATATAAATGTCTAATCATATTGCACATCTAAAAGAAATATAATGCATGTTAACTGTAATTTGAAAAATTGAAAAATATTTTTTTTTTAAATGCAATGAATGATAACATATAAATGATTTAATTCTTAGTGTAGAACTACGTGAAATAAATCAGAGAAAGACAAATACCATGTGCTTTCACTTACATGTGGAATCTGAAAACCATAATAAATGAACAAATAAAACAGACAAACTCATAGCTCCAGAGAAAAACATTGATGGGAGGTGGGTTCAGGGATGGGTGAAAAAGGTGATTAAGTACAAATTGCAAGTTATAAAAGTGGTCATAAGATTGTAAAGTATAGCATAGGGAATAGAGTTAATAACTATGTATGTTGCTATATGGGTACACATTTACTGGGGTGATCACTTCATAAGGTATATAAATGTTTAATCATATTGCACATCTAAAACAAATATGCATGTCAACTGTAATTTGAAAAATTGAAAAATATTTTTTAAAAAAATGCAATGAATGATAACATTTATATAAATGATTTAATTCTTAGTGTAGATGTAATGGGATCATAGCAGCTGGCCAGGAGACAAAGTGGCCCAAACCTGAATATATTTAAAAGTGGATAAATTCTTAAGGATTTAAGAGATCTGAAAATAAACTTTTTTATAAAAAGTTTTCTGAACATATGAAGGACAATATTATGACCAAATATAGCCTTGGAACGTTGTTGTTGCATTTATATTTCTAATGTCAAAATGAACAAAGCAATATTCATGCTGTTTACCAGTTAACATAAAATTCTCTTGCTGCTTCAATTCTCAATTGAAAACATTTTTTCATAGAATAGTTCTTCAATTTCTTAAGTTATTTAATAAAATGAGAGTTAGATTTGGTACCATGAGAAAGAGGCAATAGGGAGAAACTACATTCTATCTTAATTGTTGAGGGCAAATAATACAAGAATAAAGACAGACTGTTAAATGATGAATTTTCAAATGAGAAATGATGAGAATACTTGGTAGTATTAAGTATAATAAACTCAAGTGAGACAGAACTGTAGCATCAAAAATACAATTTCTATCATGTACCCTTTAGAAGTTTATCAGTAAATACACAAGAGATTTTGATTGCATTTTGATAGTAGTGAATTCTGTTATACATCATTAAGTTGATAGATTCATCAAAATAATTATTTGGTGGTTAGAATACCATTGTTAAAAAAGAAAAGTACTCCTAAAATGATCATAATGATAGTGACAATGATAAGTTTATGCCTAGTGTTATGTAATGTGATAAAAATAATTTTAAACAAACAAGGTGTTTTGTTTGGTTTATTTCCTTAAAGGGGAGACGTATACTATTGAAATGTAAGAAACACTGGGCTGCGTTAGAAATAAAGAGGTTTTAAATTATGACCTTTAGGAAAGGGTTGGGAATTATTTGGGAATTTGGATAAATTCATTCATTTATATCCAGTGAAAGCATCTGTCATTGGCTACTCAGTGTGTATCAGCCACTGACTTCAGTATGAGGGACGGGGAAGGAAATGGCCCTGTCCTGGAGGACTGGGAGTGATCAGTGCAGGACTCGGCCAGTATCACTCCAGGATCTTGGCCCCAGCTTGCTTTAGAAATCCCAGGTGATTAGAACCTCAAGAGAATATTTTCATCTCTCCCTATAAATCAGTGAAAAATGTTTACCTGCCAGTACTGTTTCCTTTATAATATTAAGTATACAAGAGGCAATAGCCTCAAACAGCCTTCAGGCAAGCTGAAATATTTACCAAGCCCTAACTCTTGCTCCAATCTTGAATATAATATTCCTAGGAGGCACACAGATAGCCAAGTGCAGAAAAGCACACTTATTTCTCATCCACCAAGCAAAACTGATGTCGCTGCTCAAATAGAAGGATCTATGTCTCAAAAGCTTTATGCTAGTAGTGAACTAAGGCATGTTTATGTTAAATAATATTTACAAGTATATTTATTAATTAAAGTATTTGGATGAGAGTTATTTTCCCTATGTATTTCTCTAAATGTGTGCTTCCATAAGCATTTTTAATTATAACAAAGGATGAAAGAAGAGAGGTGGGGAGAGGGAAGATAGGGAGGGGGAATGAAGCCTACCAGGAAGTTGTTCTTAAATCTGGACAGACATGTGGTAAGACCACAATAATATAAAATCTCCACCCTCATCTTTGGGTCGGCAGAGGAACGATGAGCAGTGATTTGCTTCAAACTATCACCAAGACATTTTCTTGGGGCTCAAAGTCGATCTTATCCCAGTTCTGCCACTTAACTAATGCTGGCTCTTAAGTCTGTTTTCAGTTTCCTGATGAGAAAAATGGGCATGAAAAGGAATCTAACTCATAGGAAGGTGGAGAGGGTTAGAGTTAATGCAAGTAGAGCGCTTAGGATACCACCTGGCACGCTTGCGGTGAGTGCTGATTTTGTGATGATTATGATCATTATGTTATTGAGTGTCCATTGAGAACAGAACACCATCCTATGGCTGAGCTGAGCTACTAGAAAATTGGCAGTCAACCCTTTTACCCTCCAGGGACAAGACACTGCTTTGGAACCAACAGTGTGAAAAAACGTTTTATAGGGTAGCTCTAGTTGAACTAATTACCACCTACACACATCTGTGCCATTTGGTCCCTTGCCAGGATCTTTTATGTTATTGTGTGGATGTGGGCATATTCTTTCGGAGGTTTGATTTAAAGTAGTTGCTCACCAGCTTATCTGAAGAGTTATTGCACCAGAACATCCTGGGAACTTAGGAAAAGATAAATTCCTAGGCACTGCCCCCTCCCAATGAATACAGATCTTGAATCTTTGAAGACTGCACACAAATGCCATTCCTGTGCATATGACTTATTCTCAGACACAGAAAACGCAGCTTAATGGAAATCATTACAATTTACATGTTGAAGAATATACTATACATGAACATTATTTAGTTGGAAAGGAAATGACCCCATAATTGTATGACACACAGGGCACTGTCCTGCCCAGGTGTCAAGAGACAGCAGCTTTTGGCGAAAGCTCTGCAGCCAGGCAGATTGGGTTGAAATCCGTCTCCCCCAGTTAATGGCTGTGAACTTGGGCAGGTTACTTAACCTCCCGGTGCCCCAGACTCCTCTTATATAAGAGAGTAATCCTAGGTCTTATCTCATTGGTTGTGAAAATTAAGTACAACAGATGTAAAACATTTGAAATAACTACATGACACATAGTCTATACTCAGACACATAGTACGTACTCATAATGTCAGAAGTTATTGTTAATCTAAGTCCACATCATATAGTCAGTGGGTGCTTGAACATTAGGTATTTTCCCCTATTCTGTTTATATTCTCAGTAATTCATTAAGTTAGAAGTCTGTCTTTACAGCTATTTCTGAAAGTAAGCTTTGAAAAAATGAGTTAACAAGGAAAATAGCGCTTCAGTAGCTCAGGGATTAATCTTTCCAATGACAACATTCTTTTTAATATGGTATGGTTTAATGCAGCACAGAATTGCTTAGCAAATACTGATCAGTTATGGTAATTTCAAAAAGTCCAAAGAAGATCACAGAGAATGTATCTATAGGGGTGAAGGCAGAGGCAAGCATCAGTGAAAATCAAAAGAAATTAACAAATCACCCTTTGAGTGGTTTCTCCATGTAGATTTGTATTAAAAACAAGGGAAAGCAAATAATCTGTTTGCTGAAAGTATACACAAAGTCCTACTCATCCCTGCCTAATAGATCCCAGAGAATTCACAGATACTCTTTGTTAAATAATATACAAGGTTCATAAATTAGTCTCTGCCTAAAGTGAATGGGAAATCTGTGGTTACTTCTGTGAGATTACACTGTGTGTGAAATGCTCCCTCACAAACATCCTCTAACTTTAGGCCCATAAATTATTAATGTGTGTGATGGTTGTTAGGGGCAATGCCTGGAGATTTAGCCAGATTCTGAAATCTCAAAAGTAAATGGTTAAAAATGAAAGAGTTGGAAGGAGACAATTATATTGGTTTGATGAGAGTTGACATGTTTCTACTACATCAGCATTGATTTTTAAAGATCTGAATGCCATACAGACTGATGAATAATTCAGATTCATTTATTAATCCACTGACCCTACACATGGCTTCATAAAAATGAAAATAACGTTATCCTCCTGCTTTATTTTCCGTAGGATGGAATAGGTGTACATAGCTGCATAGAATTTTTTGGTGGTGTTTGCTCCA